AAATGCTAATGAAGTGACTCTCAGAGCAGCTGGAGATGACATTCGTGTTCATATCATCATATAGTGAGACGGCAGAAGCTGAAAACACTGCGAGCGTCATCCGCGCTTTAGTATGCGTGTAGTAAACAAAACAGTGCACCGCACCATCCACCATTCATTCATTCACTGCGGAAATCATGGCGCCTCATGCGTGATATCAGATGCTTCCGCAGAGTTATAGTATTACTGCAGCACTTCACCTGAGCATCGCAAATCACGCGTATGGCCAAGATAAGTGCTGAATGAATGACAGGCTTTCTGTTGTAACATCGCGCAAGGTAAATAAGGGTGACATCTAGTGGAGAAGACTAATGATAAGATTCACGTTAATCAGATCTTGTTTTAAATGTGTGCTGAAATAAATACCGGAAAAGATCGATTCGCGACTTTTGAGAATCTATATCGAATCGACGTCATTTAAAAAAAACTATTAATCAAAAAATCTATTTTTTTGCCCAGCCCTACTAACAAACCATACATCAATGAAAAGCTTATTTATTCAGCTTTCAGATGATCTCAATTTCGAAACATTGACCCTTATGACTGGTTTTGTGCTCCAGGGTCACATATGCAAAATAGAGGATTTTTGTTGCCTGTCTAAAGCCTCACTTTCAATCAATGGTGGATACTTCATGTTGTGCATGTTACAGTGTATCTTCATCATTCATGAAATTATTTCATTTGGGGGAAGAAGAAAAAAAGACAGGAAAATCTACGATGTGACCCTTTTAATCTCTATCCAGAGAACTTCATGCGTTTAATCGCTGTTTCCGTACATCTCCAGATGGAAAATGAAGTAGAGCACATGAGGTCAAGCTTGCATGATGCCAGTCAACAGATTTCAGACTTGAGCACGCAGCAGACCATCATGACTTCAGGTGTGACCGTGATTTGGCTTATTCTCTGTGCAGTCGCGGTGAGCTTTTGTCTGATTGTGCTGTGTGTGTTGGCTCAGAGATGTCTGTGCTGAGAGAGCAGCTGAATCAGGCAGAGGAGGAGCGCTGTCAGCTGCAGAGGAGGAGCACTGAGCTCTCGGTCACCGTCACCTCCACACTGGCCTCCTACACCTTCCTGGAGCACACCCTCGCCTCCGAGACCAGCAAGTATGCAGCTAAAGGCACTTGTGGAATATGCTTTTTGAATTTCAGTTTAGTTCGTACTCAATTACACCCATTCATTTAGGAATTTAACACTGCAGAATCTGTGACGTATAACTATTTTTATTTATATGTTTGCACTAGAATCTAGAGCTGTCGATTTTTCTTATTTTAGTTCCTCCTGGATATGTGAAAGAGCCTAATTTTAAGTGTTATTCTAGAGCCATGTAAAAGTAATATAATTCTGTAAATACATGGGTGTTTTTAGAGTGAATTTATCAAGCTATGCTAAGCTCTAAAAAACTCCTTATCCAGTAAATCTCAAAAATGTTTGAGAGCCATAGGGATTTGGGAATATGTATTGTTGTGGACCGTTAGCGTCGTAATGGTAGAGAACCACTGTTCTTTGCGTCAGGTGTCTTCATCAGACATCACAGCATTGTAGTGTACAGAATACAAGATGGGTCATTGTTTAGTACATTTCAAACCAGGCACATTATGATAAATGCTATTCTCATATTCTTGATGATAAATGCGTAAAGCAGGCTATCACATGTTCAGATGTATTGATCATGAGAGCAGTCTCCTTCTGCTTCATTATCTATTTATTTGTTTTCAATGTTTTTCTTTGCTCCTCACTCAATATGTGTCGACACCATCAGATCCAAAATCAGTTGGTCAGATATTTATAATAAATATGCAAAATAATTGTTAATCATGTATTGCATGTGCTAGCTTCTTTGTTGTTCTGATGTTGGAAATAATTATGAGAAAATGAGGGAAAATAACACCTAAATTATAATGTAAAAATCCTGTGAAATTCTCCAAAGCCTGTATGACCTTAAAGAGGTTTAGTACATTTCAAACCAGGCACATTATGATAAATGCTATTCTCATATTCTTGATGATAAATGCGTAAAGCAGGCTATCACATGTTCAGATGTATTGATCATGAGAGCAGTCTCCTTCTGCTTCATTATCTATTTATTTGTTTTCAATGTTTTTCTTTGCTCCTCACTCAATATGTGTCGACACCATCAGATCCAAAATCAGTTGGTCAGATATTTATAATAAATATGCAAAATAATTGTTAATCATGTATTGCATGTGCTAGCTTCTTTGTTGTTCTGATGTTGGAAATAATTATGAGAAAATGAGGGAAAATAACACCTAAATTATAATGTAAAAATCCTTTGAAATTCTCCAAAGCCTGTATGACCTTAAACTCATAGCAGGTAACCCATGCCTGATGTTATAAATGTTGACAAATAATATGGAAGCTTTTTAAAATGGATAGTGTTTTAAATGGGATAGTTCACATGTTCTCATCCTTTACTCACCCTATATGTGACCCTGGAGCACAAAACCAGTCATACGGGTCAATTTTTCGAAACCGAGATGTATGCATCAGCTGAAAGCTGAATAAATAAGCTTTCCACTGATGTATGGTTTGTTAGGAGAGGACAATATTTGAAAATCTGGAATCTGAGGGTGCAAAAAAATCTAAATATTGAGAAAATCATCTTTAAAGTTGTTCAAATGAAGTTCTTAGCAATGCATATTACTAATCAAACATTAAGTTTTGATATATTTATGGTAGGAGATTTACTAAATATCTTCATGGAACATGATCTTTACTTAATATCCTAATGATTTTTGGCATAAAAGAGAAATGTATAATTGTGACCCATACAATGTATTGTTGGCTATTGCTACAAATATCCCCCAGCGACTTAACACTGCTTTTGTGCTGCAGGGACACATATGGCTTCAAACCTGTATCATTCGTTCATTTCTCTGCAGGACACACAAAACCAATATTTAGGAGAATATTTTAACTGTTTAATTAACAACATTAGGCCCCATTGAGCTACACTTACACTGTATGAACGAGAAACATGTTCCATAGAAGAAATACATTCCTGTAGGTTTGTTGCCATTCCGTATTCTCATTTTATTTTTCTCCTTTAGGTTAGGGCAGTCGGTGTTTGATGTGCAGCAAGCTACAGAGAGAGCGAACCGGTATATCTTCACATTTTGATCCCTCCTCTTTTGTTTGAGAAATGTACAAAATTGACTTTTTAAATGCTTTTGTCAGTCTCGAGGAAGCGCTGGAGACTTCCAGGAAGCAGCTGGAGGAATATGAGGACGCTCTGTCGCAGAGAGCATCCCTGATTAAAGAGCTGCACGCTGAAGCTGAGATTCATCGCCGCCAGCTCGGTCAACTGGCTCCGCTGCAGTCTGAACTGTCCAGTGCCAAAGAAATGAGCGAGGTGAGGAGAGTTACTAGACTTTACACCAAAACCTTATTATGGAATATTCACAGTACTTCAGCTATGCCGCTTACTCCAACAATAGCAACGTTAGTACCCGAGCAGAATTCTGAATATATTGTAATTTCTTAATAGACTTATCAGGGAGACCAGCATAAAGTGCATTGCAGTAATCAAGCCTCGATGTAATAAAGGCATGGATGAGCCTTTCTGCATCAGGCAATGATAGAAAAGGACGGAGTCTTTCCTTGTGACTGGTTTTGTGGTCCAGGGTCACAAATGTTTCGCTCTATCAGTTCTTGCAGGCAGAAAACGACCTGGCACGGGAGCAGATGGAGGAAAGTGAGCGATTGCTGCGGTGCCACTTACTGGGCCTGAGAGAGAGAAACTTGGAGTGTGAGGACCTCAAACTAGCGCTGGAACACCTGCGGTACAGCAGACTCCTGTCTACCCACTCCTACTTCTTACAAGAGATATGCTAGAGCAAGTCAGAATCAATAGAAGCAAATCTCTTCTCTTAGGCTTGAGAAGGACTCTCTTCAGGAGGAGCTGGATAGCACACGAGACAAAGCGCGCAGCATGCTGCTGGAACAAGGAGAGCAGATGGCTCAGGCGTCGAATGATCTCATGCTCCTGAACCACAGAGTTTGCTGTCTCACCGGCATCTTAAAGGAATCCCTAGCCTCCAAGGTACTTGAGGTCATAATTTACTCAAGGTTAGACATATTCCAGGGTTAATAGAGTTTTGGCTCCACACATGTTAACTGTTTTCATACACAATAGGTCTGATTCCAGCCTTGATTTGTGTGAAGCAATGTTATTTTAATATTCTTTATATACTATTGTAGTGTTTATTAATATTTTGAATGGGCTTTTGTTTTTATATTTTCAGTTTTCATATTACGTTTTAGTAATATGGTTGTGTTTTTGTCAATTTGGCATTGGTTGTTCTTTTTATATTTCATTTTTTAAACGTTTAATATATGGGACCCTGCAGCACAAAAGCAGTGTTGAGTCGCTGGGGGATATTTGTAGCAATAGCCAACAATACATTGTATGGGTCACAATTATACATTTCTCTTTTATGCCAAAAATCATTAGGATATTAAGTAAAGATCATGTTCCATGAAGATATTTAGTAAATGTCCTACCGTAAATATATCAAAACTTAATGTTTGATTAGTAATATGCATTGCTAAGAACTTAATTTGAACAACTTTAAAGATGATTTTCTCAATATTTAGATTTTTTTGCACCCTCAGATTCCAGATTTTCAAATAGTTGTATCTCAGCCAAATATTGTCCTATCAGCAGTGGACCATATACAGCAGTGGAAAGCTTATTTATTCAGCTTTCAGATGATGTATAAATCTCAATTTGAAAAATTGACCCTTATGACTGGTTTTGTGCTCCAGGGTCACATTTAAAAAAAAATATTTACATTTTTTATTTTTTATTATTTTAGTACTTCAGCTTATTTTCTAATTTCTGTTTAAGTTTACTATTCATATCATCTTCATTTCAGTTAACGGAAATTATTTTTAGTAGTTTTAATTAACAGTAACAACACTGGTTTGCTCTTGCAGTGGAGGCTTATTGATCACTTACACAGAAAATGTAGAAGTCAGAAATTTGTGTATTTTTAATACAAAATGTTTAATTTAGTTTTCTAAATCATCCTTTTGAGGTACAAGTAAGTTTTCCAGGGTTTACTTGTTTCTGATTGTACGTTGAAAAATTGGATAAAGAATAGTGCAAATGAATTACTTGACATCAGTCTAATGGTTATAGTTTCAGCACTGTGCAAAGTTGTGTTTGTGTGTTTTAAATATTTACTTGTGGTGCTGCTTGCGTACCAGAGCAATGCTTTCTTCAAGACATGATAGAAAAATACCTATTCACACAACATCATGTTTTATTTCCAGAATGAATAACTTTGTTTCGCTGTCTCGCACTGCTCAGGAGTCCGAGAGCTCTGAGAAGACACCGCAGCCTCCTCGACATCCCTCCAGCTCTTTTGTGGATTCTGTAATGCTGGCCATGATGAAGACACAGGACCCTGAGACCGAGTCTCCTGAGGCTTCAGGTGCGTTAGAGTTCGCCGCTTGTTGGAAAGCAGTTCCAATGCTGCATAATTTATTGAGGATCTATTCCTGTGGTGCCAAAGGTTTCTGGTTTCTTGCAAAACTTGTAAATAATCACAGACATGGTGTGTGTGAGAGAATGTAGTGGTGAGTCAAAAGGCCTTAGAAGTAGTTTATTGCCTGTAGATGTGTAGATTTAAAAAATGGCATACAGCTCCACACAATACTGTTTTGATGTCGGTTCTATTAAACGTTTTTAAGTCACTTTTCCATCGAGAGAAAGTAGATTAGAGGTTTATTCGTCACAACTGAGCGCACTCTTAAGTTCTCTAATGTTTTGCAGAGGTGCAACAAGACTGCATTGGCAGTGGAACCAGTGCTTTTACACGAATACCACCAACTACACACACAGAACTGAAAGGTACGTTCATTACCAGATAACACACTCATACACACACTTAGTTCTTATGTTAGCTCTACACTCAAGTATAGATGAGTGAAATGGTTATGTTGATCCTCTCTTGTGTTCTCAGAGGAGAGACGGAGTCGAATGTTGGATCGGTTGTGTGATTTTGGTGAGACCATCTCTGATCTTCAGCTCACTTTAGACCAGATGAGAGTCCAGAGAGACTCGGAGCAGCAGACGCTGAAGCAGTCCATGTGAGTTACTCGACCTCCGGTTTACTCAGTAGTGCTCAGGAGAACGCTGAGAGTTTTGTGCTATACATGGCTTGAATATCTGTTTATATTTATCGTGCATATAAATATATAACATTGGACATGCTTTGAACAGTTTAGCAGTAGATGAGGCGCCTAGTGTAAAGTCACACGAAACACAATATTATCCACAAGTGTTTGGTTTTTGCTTTACCTTAAAGGAATAGTGGAGTCAAAAATGAAAATGTCGTGTCGTTCTGAGACTTTTCCATTTTCTGCAAAACACAAAAGAAGATATTTGAAGAACATTGGCAACCGAACAAAATTGTTGGCCATTAATTTCTCAGTGACGTCTTTAATGTTCCACAGAAGAAAGCTAGTCGGACGAGAGACGGAGTCGAATGTTGGATCGGTTGTGTGATTTTGGTGAGACCATCTCTGATCTTCAGCTCACTGTAGACCAGATGAGAGTCCAGAGAGACTCGGAGCAGCAGACGCTGAAGCAGTCCATGTGAGTTGGTTTGGAACGTCAGGAGTAAATTGGCTCGATTTGTCATTTTTGGATGAACTATTCCTTTTAATAAAGTGTAAATGAATCGCAGAAGACACGCGAATAGAATCAAAGATTCATATCTGATGGAGCTGAACATCAAATGATGCCTAAATCATACCTGATCATCAAAGTACTTTTCATTTGCTTCAGTTAGGATTTCACTTCCTCATGTTTGTTAACAACTTTTTGTTTTTGTTATTTACTTTTGTAAATTCTGTAATGCACAAAATAAGTCTTTAGATCATATTTAAGAGAAAAGCACGTTTTCGGTGGGGGTCAGTTTTATGGTTTGTGTCAGATAAATATATTGAAATGAACAAAACTTAGGCTGTTTGATTTGTATGAGAGAGATTTTTCATTGGAATTCCAGTTTCATTGGGTTTTCTACTGAACATTATGTTCTAAAAACTGTATCCTTTCTGGTTTTGCAAAAGAACTCACCCTAACAGCAATCAAGCAATTCAATGTTGCTTGTCATTAAAATTCAGATACTTAAGTGTTTGCACATGTAAATCAATTATAGTGCCACAGAGAAAAGGAGTGCAGTCATTTTCAAAGCCATACTCATTGGTATACACCAAATTTAGGTTTTAAATGATTTTATTTGTATAGCAGTATTCATGCAAAGTGCTCTGTGTGATATTGCCTTGCCCCAGCTGAATCATTCCACCTGCTGTTTCAGATGTGGCCTGCAGGAGGCGCTGCGGGAGGAGTGTGAGAGACGCAGGCTGGAGGTGTCCGAGCTGAGGCAGACTGTGGAGCGACTGCAGGCGCAGGTGGAGAAGGATGCTGCGCTCCTGCTGCAGAAAGCTCAGGTAGACCTTCCGCTCGCTGTTGATTATTTCAGAGACATTCAGGGTCGGTTTCCCAGCGGCACAGCTCTTTCATTCAGCTCTCAAGGGTTTGCAGCGTAAGAGGATTAAATATGTGACCCTGGAGCACAAAACCAGTCATAAGGATCAATTTTTTTGAAATTGAGATTTATACATCATGAATATATAAGCTTTCCATTGATGTATGGTTTGTTAGGATCGGACAATATTTGGCTGAGATACAACTATTTGAAAATCTGGAATCTGAGGGTGCAAAAAAATCTAAATATTGAGAAAATCATCTTTAAAGTTGTTCAAATGAAGTTCTTAGCAATGCATATTACTAATCAAACATTAAGTTTTGATATATTTACGGTAGGAAACTTACTAAATATCTTCTTGGAACATGATCTTTACTTAATATCCTAATGATTTTTGGCATAAAAGAGAAATGTATAATTGTGACCCATACAATGTATTGTTGGCTATTGCTACAAATATCCCCCAGCGACTCAACACTGCTTTTGTGCTCCAGGGTCACAAATGTGGTTATGTATGTCTGTTTGTGCTCTTTAAGGATGAAAGAAACTTGAGGAAACTATGTACGGAGCTGGAGGAGAACATGGAGGCGGCACACAAACACAGAGCAGAGAATAGTGTACGTAACGCTGACTGTATGTCCTCATGCCGTTTTAGACCGATGGATGCGTCTCTGATTGTGTAGTAACCAGCTAGGCTTTGCTCTGTTGTGTGAAACAGGAGTTGCGTCGTGAGGTTGCTGATTTGCGGCGGCTGGAGCAGCAGGCACAGGTGGAGGCTCAGGTCTTGAGGGAGGAGCTTAACCGAACGGGCGTCCAATCAGCAGCCAGCGTCAAAGCATTAGATGAAAGAATCAAAATGCTCCGAGAGGTATGGCAGTCTATCCAGTATTTTCTGAAACTACAATAATATTACATCAGCACTTCAGTGATTACCTCTCAAACTCTCCAAAACTTAGTCTTGCTCACATGCTAAAAATAGGGGTTTAATTAGAAGTCATTATAAAACAAAAGTCCGTAAATTCATTCTTTTAAGCAGTTCCCATATGTGACCCTGGAGCACAAAACTATTATTATTGATGTAATGTATTGCATGAGTTCTTCCTATAGCAATTGTGGGGGATTATGTTTTTTGTTTTAATGCCTTTAAGGACTAAGTGATAAGACAAAATCCTTCTGTAAATTTAATATCAGTGTGTATTCTTTTGATTGTGTATTAAACGAACTGTGCTTCTGTAGCAAAGGGTCCATGCCATGAATCAGAGTAAACTGGAGCGAGAGCTACATCTGCTTGATGATATGATTGAATCCGTCAGACAGGTGAAAATATGAAAAATACTATCTGTATAATACACTGTATGTCTTGGAAATCAGTTAACAAGTGTAGCGTTTTCTTCCTTTCACAGACATTGTCCTCTATTCCTGATCTTGTCAAGAGCTGTCCTGAACTACAGAAGCTTGTGGAATCTATTGGATGAGTTGCTGAAAATTCAGAAATGTGTAGTTTAGCTTTTAAATGTTTTCTTGTTTTATTCTCAAGTGTCTTTCATTTAAACTAAACCTAAAACCTTCAGGCGTTGTGTCTGGTGATGCTGTAGGCCAATCGGTTCATTTTCTAAGTCTTTTTCATTCATTTTGTAAGTGATTAATTAGTGTATGGACACACACACTGTTTAATAAATGTTATTGTCTTAATTTAAAGGTCTTTATTAAACTTTATTTAATAAAATAAGGTCTTTATTAGGCTGATTGATGAGTTGAGAGTCCAGTAATTAATCAGTTATTCTAATCATGCCAGTGCTTGTGAAGGTTGTGATGTTTTAATCCACTCATTCAAGCACAACGTTCACTGATGTGTTCTTCTGCTTCACTGAAGCTCAAGGGCTCCATCTCTACTTCAGCCTGCTCTTTCAAACCTACAGTCGACTGATACACTTTCCCTTCTCACCATATTAGGGCTTTTTGCCTTTTGTTGAATAAGTGCAGATGCATTGAATTTGTGACTAATACAGCAAGACAAATATTTTGAAAAATGTCATTTTAATCCTAGCGCTCGCTTCATGAGCTTGTCAAAACTACACTCTACCGTGATCTCGGAGTTGTATGACAGAATACATTGCTTAATGATTGTGGTGTTGATTCAAATAATTTATATATATATATATATGTATATGAAGAGTTTATTTGAAGAAGAAAAAATGGATAACTCAAATCATGTTTTTTATGTTATGTTTTTGTGTTATATTGTTAGTTAGCTGTATATTTTAGTTAGTTTTTTTTAACCTAATCAAAATAACCCAACTGCAGTTTGATTGAAATTAATTGGAGTGCACAATAAAAACATGTTTTTTGAAAATGGCTAAAAACGGAGTTATCGTTTTTTCAAATGAACTCTTCATACATATATATATATATGTGTGTGTGTGTGTGTGTGAGCTCAGGATATTTTCAGCTTTATTGTTGGGTTTCAGCCACTTGTCTGGATAAAGTGACTAAAGCGTTTAAAGGGGCTTTTGTATTGTGGAAAGTCTAAGCAAAGATGAGGTGCAAATGAAAATCATAATTCATTTTCCTCACTTTTCTTGTAACCCTTTTTGCTCTTATTCTGACCAACTTGTCAATTAAATGTGTGCAGTCAGTGTGAACTTAAAACATCAATAACTGATCATTTGCGTCCAACTGCATGCTAAAACATTTTGACTGAATTACATTTTTAAAATGCATGTCAGCTTTCATTGTTGTAGTGCTAGGAAACTAATTATTCTTTCAAATTATATATTAATAATCTAATTTTTTTTCAATAATATAAAACCAGATTTCCAGGTCACTTTTTGTCTATTTAAAGGACATTTTCCCTAACCTTAGTAAATGCATGCGTCATCACTCGTATCAAATTCTTACATTTTATTAATAATCTCAGTTAATATAATAAGACACTACAGGGCTGTTACCTAGCAAATTAAATCAGTATTAACAAAACGGATCTTTCCCCTGCAGAAGAAACAGAAGCAGCTGTTTAGAGGCGTTCACACAGACAGTATAATGAAGCTGAAATGTAGCATGAATGCATTTACACTGCACAATTACAACAGCATGAATAATGTTATGAGCTTGGTGTTTTAAACCTTTTTTTTTTTTAAATATACAAATATGAAATGTTGGAAAAAACGCAAAGATAAGCTACTTTTAAAGAAGAAAGTAAACCACCAGCAGGTGGCAGCACTCTTAATGAGTGAGTCATTGAGTCGTTCATTCAAACGATTCGTTCAGACGGCTGAATCATTCAAGAATGAAGCGAGTGCCTGTCTTTATGAATGGGCCACTGAATCATTGACTCGGTGATTAATTAAAAAACACGAATAATTCAGTAATGAAACACAGCTGTGTGTGGCTCAGAGAAGCGCGACTGTTCTGCTGTGATCTCTGTTTGAATTATTACAACCAAATAGAGCAAAAACGTTGATAATATTGTACTACAATGTAAACTCTTGTATAAAATCAATGTTAAATTTGCAATCGTGGTTTTCAGGGAAAATGCACTCTCTTGTTCGTGTGGTGTTGCTTCACTAGGCTATATGTTATAAATATAAAAACTGCATACCTTATGTTTCTTCTGTGTGTAGTTGTTAATTAGTTTTATTTCTTGTTACTGTTAATAATACATTATTCATTATTATTCACCGTTTAAACCAAATATATTAAAATCTGATTCATTCTCCCTGAAATTTCGGTGCTTCTCTATAATTAGATGTTTTAATCAGATTAGTTGTGTTAAGTAAAATTCGGAAAGTCTTTATTTTAAGGTGTCCTTGTTACACGTTACATGTACTTACTATTATAATAACAATTAATTATGCATAATTGCATGCAAGTAACCCTAAGCCAAACCCTAACCATATAGTAAGTACATGTAGTTAATTAACATTACTCAGTACTTATATGTATAACTACAGTGTAACAATGACACCTTAAAATAAAATGTAACCTAAAATTCTTTCACTTGTCCCAGACAAGCATTAATGTCGAGCTATGTTCCTGTATATAAAACTCAACCTGTGTGGTGAAATCCACCCGCATTTGGCAGGTGTTAATGTCAAGCCCGACTGCATATTAGAAAACATACAAATTTCAGTTATAAAAAAAAGAATAGTACTAACTAACTATCCTAAAGGACATAGCAACACAGCCTCTTATAAAAAACATTTTATATCACTGAATCAAGTAGATGTAGTAACTAATTTCAATTAGAAGTAAATGGAAGCATTTACACTTTTACACAGACGGCAATAAGAAAGGCATATACGAAGAACACATTTCACTCAAGTAATAGTAAACAGACCCTCCCTAAAAAAAAAAAAGTTAGATTTTTGTAAACATTTGCCTTTAACTTGAGCACTTTGTGTCTGTACATGTGTCGATTGAGGTTATTTAGTGATGGAATCACAATAAAACAATAGCAACATCAGTTTAAATATCACAGTTAATGGTTTGCATATTTACTAAAATAGACTCTCCAAATGTTCCCGTGTGCCACAGTGGAGAAAATCAGCCTCGCACTTATTTAGGTGGCAGACACGAACCTGTCCATGTTACCTGAGTAAGCTGGATGCCTGATGTAGGCTCCTGAGCTTCCTACTGCACCAGAGTTATTGTACTGAACAAAAGAGCCCAGCTGCGCTGGGGAGGTTCTGCTGTATGGGTCTCCGACAGCATCTCCAGCGATGGGAGACAAACTGGAGATGGCCACTCTCCCCGTCGGCCCGTAGGCCTGGCTGCTGCCTTGAGGATACGATACCTGAGCTTGTCCATGTCCTGGACTGGAGTAGGCAAAGGCCATGTTATTCGAGGTACTGGAGCAGCACGACAGCACCGTGTCCCCGCTGCAGGACTGATGCTGGAAGCCCGGTCCTCCCAAACTCTCAGGACTGAAGCTGCGGCAGGACTGCTGAGGCATCATCTCTGAGCCGATGAGAGAGTTGATCCTGAAGACCCTGGACTGACCGGCGCTGAAGCTCGGAGAGGAGGACTGGTAGTAGGCAGACGGTGGGCTCATGTTGGAGTAGACCGAGCGCGCGATCTGGACTGGTGAGAAGACGGGAGACTCGTACGCTGAGTACGTCGCGAAGTCGCTGCGTTTGAATCGCTTTCGCCGTCGTAGAAAGCTTCCGCTCTCAAACATGTCTTCGGCATTGGGGTCCAGCGCCCAGTAGTTGCCCTTTCCGGGTCTGCCGGGCTCTCGGGGAATCTTGATGAAACAGTCGTTGAGGGTCAGATTGTGGCGGATGGAGTTCTGCCATTTCTTGGAGTTGTCTCGATAGAAAGGAAACTTCTCTGTGATGAACCTGTAGATGCCCCCTAGAGTGAGCTTGCGGTCGGGAGAGTTGGCGATGGCCATGGAGATCAGAGCGATGTAGCTGTATGGTGGTTTGCCTCGCTGAAGCGGTCTCTTCCTCCGGCGACTTCTCTGACTGTCATTCACTGGAAGAGTGCTTTCCGAGGGAGAATCGCTCTCCACTTTAACCACAGGCATGACTCTGCTTGGAATGACTCCCAACCGCAGCACAGCTTGGAAATCACGAGTGTCTGGCTGTCGCCGTTTCGCTTCTCTCGGTTCAACAGGTGCTCTTTGCTTCTGGTGAGAAAATGCCAGTCATAATGCAGACTTTAAAATCCCCAACCGGAAATGTCAGTTCCTTTTTACTTCATCTGGAACGGCAGGTGTGTCCTTACACCGCGATGCCCTTAATTCTAAGCAGTTCTTGCAGGACCAAGTTAAAAAGTGGAAGCACTCACTTAAACAGCCTTGGTGTGATGGTGGTCTTTGTACGGCTGCAGAGAGAAGTGAGCAGTCAATAGCTGCCTGACTTCACTACCTGAAGAGTTACCAGCCACACCTCTTCCAGCAAGTTACTGTCACGTGGCTCAAAGCACATGCCTCTGCAGATTTAAGTGCTCTCTCGATATATAGGTGCATTAAAAACACGAGCCGATACGTATGTTTCTTCTGGATCCCAAAATGTAGAATTCTATGAAATGATGAGTGTATTTTCTGTTAAGAATTCTTCGCTCTACTTTATGATTATGTTCTCGAGACTCTTTTTCCTCAGAGAATGTCCAAAAGATTTAAAGGTATCGGCTGTTTGACTACTTACCCTGTTTTTGTCTGTGCTGCAGGTTAGTGAACTCCCATCATCTTATATGTGACCCTGGAGCACAAAACCAGTCACAAGGGTCAATTTTGTGAAATTGGGATTTATACACCATGAATAAATAGCTTTCCATTGATGTATGGTTTGTTAGGATAGCACAATATTTGGCCGAGATACAACTATTTGAAAATCTGGAATCTGAGGGTGCAAAAAAAATCAAAATATTGAGAAAATCATCTTTAAAGTTGTTCAGATGAAGTTCTTAGCAATGCATATTACTAATCAAACATTAAGTTTTGATATATTTACGGTAGGAAGTTTACTAAATATCTTCATGGAACATGATCTTTACTTAATATCCTAATGATTTTTTGGCATCAAAGAAAAATCTATAATTGTGACCCATACAATGTATTGTTGGCTATTGCTACAAATATCCCCCAGCGACCTAAGACGGGTCACATTTCTTCCCTTCATGCTGCCGCTAATCTTTCTTCAGGAACCTCATGTTCTAGCTCTCCAGCAGCTAATGGAAAACACGCACGTTTATTTTTGCAGCAAGCAAAACAGATCGGGATTCATTTTGGCTAAAGTGGGGCGTTATTGAGCTCTAATCGCCGTGTTTAGTGGTAATACAAACTCCACGGCCTCCGCAGAGCTTTTTTTCTCTCTAGTGCCGTGTGAGGCGGTTTCATCTGTGTGAGAACATGTAAATATGTTATTGTAAGCCACAGTGTGTGCCTCCCTCGGTTTTAACAGCATGCAAATCTGGGTCACATTTTGGTGTGTGGGTATAGACAGCCTGATACCTAGGCCAGGTGTCCTGTTTCCATGTTTAATAAAGGAGATAAAAATACAATTCTGTACGGCGTTATTCCCACGAGTGCATTATGGTTTTTTAATGGGAAGTAGCCCAGTCCGTGTGGCGCGAGAGTTCGAGAGCTTCTGCTGAAACGGGCCGCTGCTCAGATGGATGCCAAGACAATGAAAGGTTAAGCATCGAGAGATCTGAGGGTATCTCCGGCGCTCGGAGGATATTTCCAAAGAGCTGCCCACCCTCGTGAAGTTGGCAGAAAATGCTCTAGATATGAGTCAGAAAATGAAAATGCTGCTGTCACACACGATTTTACGCTTTACCTTAATACCCAGAGTTTTGTTCGTTGACGTCATCAACTTCAGATGTCAATACAAATACATGAATAAATATATGGTCCACCCCCAAAGGACGTCAAAACAATTAGTCTTGTAAAGTACAGCGTTGAATGCCAATGCAAAGCTCTGTCTATATAATTTATTATCATAAGGATAATTGCATAATTACATTTATACGTTCATTTTTTAAAAGACAATCCATAAATTGTGTTTTGTTGATGTGGAATTGCTTAAGCAGTTCCAGTCAGTCAGTGAAAAACGGTATTGGCAGAACTGGGAATGTTTTAGAATAATTATCTTTATCTTTGAAACCTGTTCTTAAAATTTGGATCACATAATCTAAGTGCATTTGGCACACAGATGCACCGTTTAGATCATGTGAATTATTCTAAAACATTCCCAATGGTGCCACTTATAGTTATATGAAGCTGTTGCTTTTTGAAGCATGATGCTTGTTTCTCGACATGAATACTGCTGAAAATGACACTAAATTTCACTAAAGATGTCATATTGGTTAGAAAATTACAAAATTCACCATTGCAACAGAAACAACCTATTAAATAAATTCCTTTAAAATAATATTTTTAATTTTTTTTTTAAATGTATTCGAATAGGAAAGTTTAGAGAAGTACAATTAATATATTTTTTTACACAATGTATATATACTGTATACGTAGGAAAAAAAGAAAAAGTTATATATTTTTTTGCTTGATGTTATTTTTTTCTATTTTTAATGCTTGCTTTGGAATAGCTTCACTTTCTGTTTATATAATCTGCATAGCTTGCTCCGTTTGCCAAAATGTCCAGCATGCATCATTTCTAGTGTGAAGAATGAACCAGAATAACCGGAATAATATCATCAGCAAATCTCTCTCTTGTCTCTTTATTTAATCAGACTGGCAGAAGTTTTCTTTATAGAAAAACCAATATCAGCATGTATAATCATAAAGATTGAATTAAATCGTCTGACGACAGTGGAGCATACGGCTGTTTATTAATGCATACTGTTTCACATACTATTTAAACAAACAAAACAAGTGTGTTCTTTATGCAGTAAGCTGTTCACTAATATTCCTTCTACACTCTTAAAAATAAAGGTGCTTCGAACGGTTCTTCGAGCGATGCCATAGAAGAACCATTTTTGGTTCCACAAAGAAGCATTCAGTCAAAGGTTCTTTAAAGAACCATCTCTTTCTTACCCTTTTGTAATCTGAAGAAACCACAAAGAAGCTTTTGTGAAACAGAAAGGTTCTTCAGATGTTAAAGGTTCTTTATGGAACCATTTAGACAAAAAGGTTCTTCTATGGCATCGTGAAGCACCTTTATTTTTAAGAGTGTATAGTGTTTGAAACATATGGCAGATGTGATAGAAAGCCAACAAATGAACAAAAAAGTGTGGTACCATGCATTTAAAATGATTTATCAAGAAGTATACGGCCAACTTCTGATGACAGATGAGCGTAAAATATTTGGTCGCATATTACTTTTGGTTTTTAGATCTCAAATTGAGAACAGATTTTGTCTACAAAAAAGATTGGTGATTTTAACAGCTATGATTATATGTCACTATGTCATTTAATACAAAGATTTAAGCCACTCCAGTATCAGTGTGGCCATGTCTGTGAAAGAACCAGGATAATTGAATCTGATTCTTGTTTTCTGGACTGATCGTAGAGGAGAATCTGAAGAACAGCGTAGCCAGACAAAAGCAAACAACACCCAAAGGGTGGAGAATGAGTAACATTTAGTGAATGATGGGAATTTTAATTCTGTGGAAATCACCAGTGTGTTCATGGAGTTCCACAGACGCGGATTCCTACGGCTTTAATTACAAACCAAACAAACGACCGTTTGTGGATGTGACAGGTGCTGGTTGCTCTGCTGATAGCTCCTGAAATAATACAGTTGATTTATTTAAATATGTATGTATTTATTTATTTTTGCATTCAGACTAACCTCAATCTTGGCTTCATTTATACTACATGTCCGCTGCCTGCACTGAAGTGTTTTATTATCTGTCCAAACTGACAAGCCAGATGGAATCAAACTTAACGAAGCATCCAAAAACATTGCCTGAAGAATTATTTTACTGTGAGCGGAATTTGATAGAAGCAGCATTCGGTGTGGTGAAAAAATAACCTTTTGCTCTAAAACAAGGCTGTTATCATAAAAACAAATTAAAATGTTTCATTTTATTTCATTTTGTTGTGCACAAACGTATAGTATGTATTCCAATGTGAATAGAACTATGTTTTTCCAATACCGTCCATTGATGAATTATGTAAATCAGAGTTTTGTCAGTATAAGCCATGCAAAAACCTCTGACATCAGGTAAAGAAATGGTGACATGCAAAAGAAAGCTTCAGTATTTATTTAAAAGGTCACTTTAGATTGTTTGTTTCATGACTTCACACACACAGCTTCTCTTCAAAGAACAAACATGTTCATTTCTGTTATAAATGTGGTCACAAGCTCATCTGATTTAGAAAAGCACGTGTTATTGTACCATGATTTGGTCAAATCCACTGTTCATTGCAGATTCTGGAAGCTTTGTTCATTTTTATATGCTTTTGTTGTTACTTGATCTTGAAATAGTAATGGTCATTAGCAGGGGTGTGAAGTAACGAATTACAAATGCTCACTGTAATCAAGTCGTTTTTTTATCAGAAATGTAACTTTTTTTAATAAGTAGTTTAAAAATAGTGTATTTTACTTTTACTTGAGTTCATTTTAAGTGCTGTATCTGTACTCTTACTCTGCTATTTCCCCTCTGTTTGTGCTCGTTACGTCTAGACTCTGTCTGTCTGTCTGTCTATCATCTGTCTATCTATTTATCTGTCTGTGTGTATCTATCTATCTATCTATCTATCTGTCTGTATCTATCTGTCTGTCTGTCTGTCTATCATCTGTCTATCTATTTATCTGTCTGTGTGTATCTATCTATCTATCTATCTATCTATCTATCTGTCTGTATCTATCTATCTGTCTGTCTTTCTGTCTATCTATCATCTGTATCTATTTATCTGTCTGTTTGTATCTATCTATCTGTCTGTCTATCATCTGTCTATCTATTTATCTGTCTGTCTGTATCTATCTGTCTGTCTGTCTGTATCTATCATCTGTCTGTCTGTCTGTCTGTCTGTCTGTCTATCATCTGTGTCTAGTCGTGTGTGTGTGTGTGTGTGTTTATTTGTGTGTTCTTGAGCATGTATACTGTTTGCACTGTCTGTCTGTATCTATCTGTCTGTCTGTCTGTCTGTATCTATCATCTGTCTGTCTGTCTGTCTGTCTGTCTATCATCTGTGTCTAGTCGTGTGTGTGTGTGTGTGTTTATTTGTGTGTTCCTGAGCATGTATACTGTTTGCATTTTGCCCGAGTTCTGTCAGTGGCAATGCAAAGTCCCAGTGCCGGTTGACTGGTTCTCAGGCCGGGCCGGTTTACATAACTGAAGCAGAATGCTGCATCTCTCGGCTAACGTTCACTCTTTATGACCCTCCACAGGCAGCCACCTGTCTGTATCGACACGGCCAATCAGCACTGCTGGTGTACGCTCGCACTGGAATTACCAGTGTAACCAAACAAACCCAACAACCTGTCTGAGAAGGGTTTTCCAGAAATAAAGTCACCCCAAAGAAGGAAGCATCGTATTTTCTTTCATTCACAGCACATAGAATTATTTAGTTTTTGGAACTGTTCTAATTCTTGAAATATAGTCCTCATGTAGGATGTTCTTAAAGTACCTATTGCAAATGTGGCCTGAAAATGAAAGCACAGGAACACACCTCTGCAAACCCTCGTCTGGTTTCAGTGCACATCAGTTTGAGTGTCTGATCGCGTGCAGTGAGCTACTGGCCACCAAAGTACTCTTCCCATGTTTCTGCAGACACGTAGAGACTTCTGTCGGCTCAAAGTCCTTCTCTTTCCCCCTTGCTGCTTCTGAATGGGTTGCTCAATCCAGCTGTATTGTGAATGTGAAGGTTCAGTGTTCTCCAGGAATGTTCTCCTCATTAGTGAAGCTGGTCGTCTCGGAGGACAGATGTGACACACCTCGCTGGGACCTGACGATGAAACGAAGTTCCACAGTTCTCTGCCTTGGGATTTCGTTCACGGATATTGTTTAAGATGACAGAGTGCTGATAGAAATGATCTCATTCAGCCGTGGGTTTTTTGCATGTAATCCAGATGCGTGTGCGTCCTCTGCTTTATGTGTTCATGCATGATGTCTGGCGTTCTGAGCAGCCCTGAATATCATTCACGGTCTAATCTTTCAGCTCCTGCAGATCTACTGAAGTGTTGGCAGGATTTGGGCTGTTTAACAGGTCGAACCTTTTAATGTAACAAACACGGGTTTGAAATCTTAAAACATCCTGAGCTTAACTGATACAATTTATTACAATCTATCTATCTATCTATATCTGTCTGTCTGTCTGTCTATCTGTCTATCTATATATCATCTATCTGTCTGTCATCTAGCTATCTGTCTGTCTGTTTATTTGTCTATACTTTTACTCGTTTATAAATCACTTAATGGCCTAGGACCTAAATACGTAGCAGATATGCTCACTGAATATAAACCTAACAGAGCACTCAGATCATTAGGATCGAGTCAGTTAGAAATACCACGGGTTCACACAAAACAAGGGGAGTCTGCTTTTAGTTATTATGCCACCCGCAGCGGGAACCAGCTTCCAGAAGAGATCAGATGTGCTAAAACATTAGTCACATTTAAATCCAGAATCAAAACTCATCTGTTAGCTGTGCATTTATTGAATGAGCACTGTGCGATGTCTGAACTGATTGCACTATATTATATGTATAATCGTTTTCTTAAATTCATTTTAAACCTCTTAAATCAATTTTTTTTAAATAATTTTCCGTTTTTAAATTCCTTGTTTTATTGTTGTGATTATTGTTTTCTTTTCCTTTATGTAAAGCACTTTGAATTACCATTGTGTATGAAATGTGCTATACAAATAAACTAGCCTTGCCTTGCCTATCTATATCTGTCTGTCTGTGTGTCTGTCTGTCTATCATCTATCTATCTGTCTGTCTGTGTGTCTGTTTATCTATCTCTATCTATCTATCTATCTATCTATCTATCTATCAGTTCTTTAAAAGAGAGAGAGCGAGTGGATGCTTGGCATTCTGGGATGCCTGACAAAGACAAAGAGAGAGAAATCTATATCTGTCTGTCTGTGTGTCTGTCTGTCTATCATCTATCTATCTATCTGTCTGTCTGTCTGTCTGTTTATCTATCATCTATCTATCTGTATGTCTGTCTATCATCTATCTATGTATCGTCTATCTCTATCTATCTATCTATCTATCTATCTATCTATCAGTTCTTTAAAAGAGAGAGAGCGAGTGGATGCTTGGCATTCTGGGATGCCTGACAAAGACAAAGAGAGAGAAAAATGGCACGGTATGCAGTTCTTTTGCAGTGCCACCTGCGTGTCTGTTACTGCAGGATTTGTGTCTCCTCAATCTCTGACACCGCTGGATTACCTGTTCTTAAAGCAAAGAGCCAGCGCAAGCCACATCTTGCACTCAAGTATTCAAGCGCTCACACACTTGATTTTCTGTGCTTTGTGGGATGGATTTGCTCTATTATTACTGGCAGTAGTCTGATTATGATTTCACGATGCACTAATTTCCTGCTCTTTAAACACTCTCAAACGCTTAGTGTTCATTTTTCTTTAATTTAAAGCTAAAACCTTGTTTTTGAGGAGCTAATGCTAGAAAAGAGTGTATGTAAAATATGTTTTTGTGAGGTCCAGCTAGGATTCACAGCTTGGGTTTGTGGAGTTTTGCTCGAGAGGTCGGGTGAAAAGGTGAGATATTGTCCTGGAGAGACAGACTCACCCTGCTCAGGGAAGTGCTTTGACATTCAGACTAATCTCCAGCAATAAACAACTCCCATCGCCTTGGGCTACGCTACAGCAGGTGCATTCTGGGTTCAGACTTGTATGCATGAACGGAACACCGTCTTAAATCACAAACAACTCACTTAAGCTGTTATTTGCCATATTTTAGGAGCTGCGTCAAATGAAGTCTACTCTTTATTCTCAATTCCCTTTCAAAAACGGCTGCTATTTCATGATTTTGGCTTAAAATCATCATATAAAGGCAAATATCCATCAGCGTTCCCATACACATTCTCTCTCTTAGGTTCACAGAAATCATACACTCTCAGAAAAAAGGTACAAAAGCTGTTACTGGGGCAGTACCTTATCAAAAGGCACACCTTTGTACCTAAACAGTCCATATTAGTACCTAAAGTGTACAAAAGTGTACCTTTTGAAAAGGTACTGCCACAGTGACGGCTTTTCTACCCTTTTTTCTGAGAGTAGGTAACCAAACACGCTAACACTTTAGTTTAAGGGCCAATAACTTGCATGCACATGACTAGCATATTGGTTTATTAGTTCTTATAAAGCACATATGAATGCCTTATTATTCTGCATGAGCATATTTTAGATCTCTTAATCCTAAACCCCATACCTAAACTTAACTACTTTACTAACTATTAATAGGCAGCACATTAGGAGTTTATTGAGGCTAAAGTTGTAGTTAATAGTGAGGACTGGACCTTAATAATAAATAAAGCGTAACCCTAAACACATCAAAACACATTGTTTGCGAAAAAATACCCTAGTCCACATTTTTACCTGTAAACCAGTCAATAAGTTAGATTTTTTTCTATTTGCTCTTGTCATGCTTATTTGTGGCTTCCCCATGCCATGTCAAAGTATATGTGTATGTGTGTGTGGCTTTATTTACATATACTAGTATATTTGCACAACAAATGGTGCCTCACTGAGCTGTTTTGCATGCTGTGTGCCTGCTGCTTTAGCTGACACTGAGCGTGAACGGCTGCTTTGTTTTTCTGAAGCTGCACCCTGATATGTGTCCACCTGTCACTCATCCCCACTGCATTTCTGTCAATCAGATTCAGCCTTATTATGCTGCATACTAGAAATGAAGATAAAGTCGGTTATCACCCGATACCTGGAGAACATTTTTTAAGAGCAATAATGTCATACAACTCCAAATGTTAGTACGCGTACTGTATGCACACACACACACACACACACACACACCTTTGGCCTAATAAAACTTAAAATAGTTTAAAAAATAACACATAAAATAAGTCACATCACATTTTAGAAAATATATCATCATTTTATAATATATTAAAATGTTTCGATATATTTGTGAATTCATACCGTCTTAAAATGTATACAATTATATTTAATGTAATCATATGATATTATGGTGGTGTAATATTGCTGCTGATGACACAGGTGTGGACATGAGCTGATGGAAGGGGCTCCAGGACCTCAGTGAGAGCACAGGTGCAGCAGACACAATGTTTCCAGAGATTTCTCCGTCTCACTCCCACACACACATTCCTCTGCCCTTCAGCCGCAGAGCTTTTATTCCTTCCAGTTTAACTCTGACCTGGCACTACTTGTGATTTACAGACGGACAGCTTCAGCGGAATGATGCTCGCAGTAATCATGTCATCATAGTTGTCTGATTCTCATGTCTCCTACATTATTATTATATTCATTTATTTCAAATATTAGGCTGTTTAAAAGATTTTCAGGCAAGAAAGTATAAGACCAAAAGTGATTGTCATTTTATTGAGGAAGATGCAAGTTTCTGACAAACTTCATTGGAAGCGATTGTTGGATTGGTGCATGAGAGCACACCTGAGCCTGTTGCAGTCTGACCTGTCTTACCGCCTCATTTGTCATCTCCAATCACAAGCTCTTTTGAGTGGAGCTGAAAGACGAGGAATTATCAGGCCTCGCTCGGTGATGAGAGCTCAGCCTGCAGCTCAAAAGAGAAAGTATGTGAGAACGCCAGCAAGCTGAACACGTAAGAACACAGGCAAACACTCTCTGCTTTGCCAGTCCCGCATCGGCCAAAGACTGACTCATGCTGCAAGCTGCAAGTATTTCTGACGTTCAGGCAATGATTAGCCATGATGAGCCATTATTTATTTATTTGCATGTACATTTCTTTATTTATCTTTATTTATTTGCATGTGCATTTATTTAATTATTTATCTATTTATTTATTTGCATGTGCATTTATTTATTTATGTTTATTTATTTGCATGTGCATTTATTTATTTATCTGTTTATTTCTTTGCATGTGCATTTATTTATTTATCTGTTTATTTCTTTGCATGTGCATTTATTTATTTAATTATGTATCTATTTATTTATTTGCATGTGCATTTATTTATTTATTTGCATGTGCATTTATTTATCTATTTGTTTATTTGCATGTACATTTCTTTATTTATCTTTATTTATTTGGATGTGCATTTATTTATTAATTTAATTATTTATTTATTTGCATGTGCATTGATTTATCTGTTTATCTATTTGCATGTGCATTTATTTAATTAATTAATTTATCTATTTATTTATTTGCATGTGTATTTATTTATCTGTTTATATATTTGCATTTTTATTTTTTTATTTTCACAAGACTGATGTCTCAGAGAGATTTACAATTATGCAGGATTGTTATTACTAAAATAAAGCAATATGCTCTTGTGTCAATAACCAAGTGATGTTGTGATTTTTGTGAGTACAGTGTTTTGCAATTTGATATGTGCACTTGTTCATAGTAAAAATGTTGATTGCAGTTCAGTTGACATGCTTTGGTAAGGCAATGGTGCAAATCACAACTTCACAGACCTTTTGTTATATGAGATGTAAAAATACTGGTAGCACAAGTTACGTTACGAACAATGAAAAACACAGTATGTACATCCTATACTTACATTATTAACTGAAAAATACTTCTAAAGCATTTATTAATCAGTTAATTCCAACATGTGCTCTGGTCACACTTTATTTAAAGGAACAGTTCTCACTATTAACAAACCATTAACTGTGACTTTTGCCTCAATAAACTCCTAATGTGCTGCTTATTAATAGTTAGCAAGGTAGTTGTTAAGTTTAGGCAGGATTAGGGATGTAGAATATGGTCATGCATTAATATGTGCTTTATAAGTACTAATAAACAGCCAATATGTTAATAATATGCATGCTAATAAGCAACTAGTTAATAGTGAGAATTGGTCCCTAAACTAATGTCTAACCAATGCTCTTTTAAAATCAAAAGTTGTATCTGTTAATATTATTTAATGGAGCGACAATCTAAGAATGGTGCATTTTTATTAACTAACGTTAACAATGATTACTTGATACTGTAACAACTGTATTGCTTATTATTAGTTAACATTACCAAAATATTTTTGGCTCGTTATGAAACTGCGGCAGGAGAGATTAGATTGCCACAGGCTCAGTATTAACCGGTTATTAGCATGCACATGACTATTGCCTGTTTTTTAGTACTTATCAATGCCTTATTACACATTTTGCATCCCTTAATCCTAAACCCCAGATCTAAACTCAACAACTAGCTTACTAACTATTAATAAGCAGCAGATTAGGAGGTTATTGAGGATAAAGTTGTAGTTAATAGTGAGAATTGGACCCCAATCTTAACTGTGACCGATTATGCTTCATATTAACACCAACATGTTAGGATAACTTAATGTATTATATACTGTACGCATCAATATAAATGTAGTCTACATGCCTGATACAAGCCACTTGTCTGGGAAAATCTGTCTTATCTACAAACATTAAAGTTTGATGTGTTTGCTGCGTGATAGTGATTGATACACGCATGCACAAAAGATCAATTTCAGACAAGTAGGTTTCGGAGTATGTGCTCTCGGTCACAGTTTCTGCAGTCTTCGGTGTGTTTATCTGCAGCGGAGCACAGGTGGATGTGATATGATACGCATCTGACTGTAAATACAGCTGGAGCTGCAGATGCAAGCTCTTGGTCAGTGCTATTAATAGCTTCACACCAGAGACAACAGCATGGACATCACCACAGCTGGCTAACTGCTTTCAAATCTAGCATCGTTGCTATTATTATTACAACAGAAATGATATAAAGTAGTGATCAAACTTCCATAAAGATTTACTATCATGTTGTTAGCAGTAGAACTAGCTGTGTTCTGTTAACACAGACGGCTCCAGCACGGCCCACGTCTGACCTCCAGTTGGAATGGAAAGAAAACTTGATAATTAAACTCACATAGAATTATTCAGTGAAGCGCAATGTGATTTCTGGGTAAATTTCTGAGGTAAAGGGGGAGTTGTTCAGTCGGTGTTGTGGCAGCATCACCTGCTGGCTGTCGAACAAAACACACTCACTCCACACAGCACCATTATACGGGTTTTATTGTAGTTGCACAGTTTTTTCGTTCTCAGAACAAGCCTATGATTGATTCAGATGAGACCATGAAGATTCATGCTAAAGAGGAGCGCTTCACAAACTCTCCCAGCACTTCCAGAAATATCGAACGCTTCAACACTGATCCAAAAGCAACACGTGGTACTAGAGTTACAGGACTACACACACACACACACGGGATAAACACAAAAATGACCTCACTGAGGATAAACACGACTGAAAAAATATTGGAATGTCCTGCCAATACTAGATATGCTTTATTTAAATATAAAGGGGCTCTTTGAGCTGATAAAAACAACTAAAGACACAAGTATTAAGAAGAACATATCTTATTCTGCCTGTGGAAATTTTAGGCCAATAGTAAACATCATTCAGAGTCAGGAATTCTTTCTCCACTTAAATCAGACATCAGGCAAATATGACAAAATTTGATATGCGTTTTGATATGTTTCATGGGTTCAGATAACGCACTCAGACATATGACTACTAATATATACACACACACACACACACACACACACAAAAGTGTTTTGGGTTGAATCTTACTGACCAGTTCCGCATCCATGCAATGTGAACGCAGGACTGTACAGAATGTTACATGACACACTGTAACAAAAACTATTCACTTAACTTTCATCTCGTTTTTTTTCCCTCTGTCGCCAAATATGAATTGATTTAAACGGTCAAATCTAACATCACTTGTTTTAGGACATTAAACAAACATCGGAACATTTCACACTATGAACAGGAAAGATGAGAAAGCATATTTGTTTTGCAATTAATGCGGTTTCAAAGAAGAAACAAAAAAACTCACATTTAATACTTCACATCAATTTGACATCCACTGTCCTTCAAATAATTGTTCATAAATACATTATGCTAAGAACTTAATACCAAAATAACTTAACTGCAGATATTTTTAAAAGGGTTCGGATGAAGAGACCAATTCACGGCTTGTTGCTGGAAACGGAAACAGGCTAAACTGAAAATCATACAGGAGTCATAGCAGCAGGCAATGCAGAGGTCAGCCTCAGGAAAAATTAAATACATCAATTAATCAATATAACAAAGTGGTGGCATTCAGGAATAATATCTACTGAAGGGCACTGGAAACGCTTCATTGCTTATTATTTCCTATGAGCAAATCCCACAACAGAGCGGTTGGTTTGTGCTGCTAGGTTTGGTTATTTCTGCTCTTGCAGAAGAAGTGGTTTGCTTGCTCATGCATTAGACTGAGTGGGGTAAATCTACCAGGATATCTACATAGTTGACCGGGAAGAAGCCCGAATGCCCACTGACTGTTCCTTCATACCAGTTCTCGTCAATCTTGCTAGTTAAGGTGATGACGTCTCCTTCCTTGAAGGCCAGCTCACCCTCGTTTTCAGGGTCGAAATCATACAGCGCCCGACAGCAAGGCTGGTCCATCGGAGCTGAAACGGATCAAAAAAAGGATTGTTTAGGACATGCACTCCTGCACTGCAAAGATCGAACTCTATTACTGCCTCACCTGGTGATCTGGACGGGCCGCTGAGCCCGATGCTGCCATTGTGGTTCTCACTGAAATCCACCGAGGTGCGAGGTTTGGGGACATACTCTCTTCTCGGCTTGCAAGAAGTCTCTCTTATTCTGCATGCATACAGAAATACATCATTGTAGATAAATGAACAAGGCAACACGAGAGAGAATGCAACACAGCGAGAACAACACCTGAGTGCAGGTGGGACACATCCTCAGATTGCTGTAAACTGTAGAATTATGAATGAAATGCTACTGAAATAAAACAATAGGTTCACTTGTGAAGCCTCTTTTTTAATGACTATATTCAGTGCTTCCGTCTGCAACAATCATGTGAATAATCTTCATTTCTAGGCTTCTCTCAGAAAATATTTATTAACTTATGTGCGATTAATTACATTATATCATGCAATTCATTTGATTACATTTTCATAACTGATCACAAGATCTAACAAAGAGTCCATCAGTCATAGAAAATACATTTTAACATTACTGGGATTGTGTCTTAAGGATTTGAATGAGTTCACAGACGAGCCTGATCTTCAGACTGCAAACTGTAAAACGGTTCTCTACATCAGATGCACTGTTCAAAGCTCTCGTGTTTCGTTTGGAAAACGCCACACCAATTTACCGATTACAACATGTAACACGCAAACACTTCTAGCTGTTTGTACACAGCACTCTAGTGTTTTACATGCGACACATCCATGCATGTGTAAGAGGTCATCATTTGGTGGTTTTTGTGTAGAGTTATGATGCAAAAGCATTTTGAGAAAAGTTAAAATAGGTTTTTGCACGTGTTTTGAGCACAGAGTATAGAGAAAAGGTGTCATCGCTTCTGAAACCTTGTGTATGTAGAGCTCTAGCATTAGTTTCTCTCTCATTCGCAGTTTGCATAAGTAATAACATGAATGAATAGTCACGGAGCTTTTTAAGAATGAATGCCTGTAGTTGCATTTTTTATTTTATTTTATTTTGTATGTTTGTGTGAGACGGGAGATCTTCCACAGACCTGTCCTCTAGTTTGCCGGAGAGCTGCTGAAGGATCTCTGCGGCCTGTCGGTGGTAGTTGACCTGAGCTTGGACCAGAGCAGAAAGCTGACTCACTTGTTCAATCTGCAGAAACACCGACAGAACATCAACAACTAGCACACATGAACACAAACAATGCCTCACTGAGTGCATATCAATGGCTACATTTCCATGCACCCTTCGAAGGCACTAAAGACAGACACATGAAGTACTGCGAGCTCATGTGATCGCTGCGTTATGACGACGTTCATATTTACAGCAACCATTAAATCACAGCAAATATGTGACGCTGGAGCACAAAACCAGTCACAAGGGTCAATTTTTCGAAATTGAGATTTATACATCATCTGAAAGCAGAATAAATAAGCTTCCATTGATGTATGGTTTGTTACGATAGCACAATATTTGGCTGAGATACAACTATTTGAGAATCTGGAATCTGAGGGTGCAAAAAAATCTAAATATTGAGAAAATCATCTTTAAAGTTGTTCAAATGTAGTTCTTAGCAATGCATGTTACTAATCAAACATTAAGTTTTGATATATTTACGGTAGGAGATGTACAAAATATCTTCATGGAACATGATCTTTACTTAATATCCTAATGATTTTTGGCATAAAAGAGAAATGTATAATTGTGACCCATACAATATATTGTTGGCTATTGCTACAAATATCCCCCAGCGACTTAACACTGCTTTTGAGCTGCAGGCTCACATGTGTGATTTAATCTGACGATACGCTGATTATTGGCATGTAAACATAGCCTTTGCATAAGATGCAACGATCAATGAAAACTAGTGAATGCTGTGACTTATTGAGGCTTACTGCTTCAGAATAAACAGAACGCCGACACGCTAGTGAGAAAGACTACGAAACTCTACGAATGGAGAACCGCTGACGGATCTTACATCGCTCTCCAGAAGGTTAAACATGCTTTGCTCAGCAATCTCCTTTGAGTCATCAAACTTCTCCAAGGTCTGCTTCATGTCATCTTCTGTGAGCTTTCCTTGCCTTTTCTTCTTATAGTCAAAGTCCAGCCGTCGCCCCTCCAGCTTCTTCAGGTGATGCTGTCACAACACAGAGAAAGACCCAGAGCTCAGTTACTGACCTCCAGTGATACGCATTTACTCTTTTACTCTTCCAGTATAGTTTTTAACAGCCCCATCCGTCATCCAGCACGCTCATGTGCCACTGAAACCGTTAAGAGCGAACTGAAATGATCAGTGACACTAACTGCTTCCCACCAGCGGAAACTGCCACAATTAACGACACGCCAAGACCGTGATCTCATTTAAACAGAGTTCAGCACTATTTCAGAGCAGTTAGTGGAGGTTAGTGAAGGAGACGGAAATACCGCATGGAAAAGGAACAGAACTGTGAATTTCTCCCTTAACGGTCACAAGAGCAAACGGTTTTAGAGGACTGGAGGGGTTAACATTGGGTCACTGTGCACTGGTTTTTGCAGGGTTTCAATGCAGTCATTTCTTATATCTCACCTGGATTTCTTTTAAGTCTTTATCATGCAAATTCTGCAGGGGGTCGATAAAGTTTTGCTTGACCTCCATGTCTAGAGCATCTTTAACTTCAGCTAGCTCTCGCATGGCTTCTCCAACATCGACCAGAGCCAGACCTGCAAAACACAAGCACAATATACAGTATATCTCTAGAACATCTCTATATTTTTAAGGGCAAATCAGTGAGAACTCCATGTTCTGAATGAAGCCGTTTTTAAGTTTATCCATATACTGACGCAAAACCAACATAAATAAAATGATCTGGTATTGGTCATGTTTCAAATTCTGTAGCAACCAGAGCTATTTCCTACATACACTAAGTGCTGGTCATTTTCTAAAAACTTCCAGTACGTTAACATTTGTCCGCTATCATCACGAATCTTTCTGCTAATTGGAGCACCATTCGACATTTGCAGATGCTGCAACCAGTTAGTCACTTTGCACCAATCAGTGGTGACACGATTTGCATATCCTGAAGCGGTGTCTCATGAGTTTATGAATTGAAAATCCTTTTGTAATTTAATCCGATTACTCGTGCAATTAAATGTAATTTAATTGTGTGCAGGCAAGCAACGTGCACAAAAGACTAAACCGCTATCACAAGTGCTTGGAATAAAGGCAGATGACTTGATTAGAATGGGAGCATGCATCTGGTTCTGTTGCTCTGTTTAAAGCTGCTCTCTCCATGCATGCTCTCTCTCTCGCTTCATAGACGGCTTCATTTATTAGAAACAGAAGCATTTTGATTTATCGTGCTTCATTGTTCATGTAACTACATTGTCAAAACAGTCTGGATTGTGGTTGAGGGTCATTGATAACCTTGCAGTCATTTCAGCCAGCCGCATTAAACGCTTGATTGCATGCAAAATAAAAATGTTTGTGCTGATGCTAGGGAATCTCACCCGTTTTTGTGGGTTGCATTTAAATAACATGAACTTAGAATAGCATACTTGTCACTACTACCTCTGGCATGTGGTTAGAGGCGTCCAGTACTTTTAGGGCATTTTCACACTTGGCTTGTTTGGAGCCTGGGCTTTTTCCTCCCCTGGTTTGATTTCTTTAAGCACATATGAACAGAGCAGATCTGCACCAAAATAATCGACCAGATCGCCAGAATGCGGCTGGTTGTCTTGGCCTGATTGAAAACAAATTCTGGAGCAGTTCGACCGACACAGCCAACCAACAAACGAAGCTGGATCATCATTTATAACGAGAAATACGTCATGTAAAAAGCAGCAGTCTGATTCGGAGACCGAGCGAGAACATTACCCATCTCAGCTGAAACCAGAGAGTGCCTCTTTATCTTAATGTGGTCTAATTGCTCTTCCCTGGATTCCCACTCAAACTTGAACTATAGCGGGAATGACGGCTACAGTCGTATGTGTTTGTGTAACAACAGCTACCGATAAAGCCACGATAAGCCCACAGAGCGAACTTGTCAATCCGTCTCGATGAGTGACACTGAGGAACATGAGCAGATGAACTCACATAAACACCTTGAAATGTTGCTGTGTGAAAGCGAACCGTACCATTTCAGAACAAAGCAGACGTTCTACAGGTCTGAAAACAGCCTCATTGACAGACCTGGTTGTGCATTGTGTTTATTAGCATGCATACTACTAGTATATTGGCAGTTTATTAGTACTTCTAAAGCACATATTAATGCCTTATTATTCTGCAGGAGTATATTTTAGATCCCTTAATCCTAAACCCCATAGCTAAACTTAACAACTACATAACGAACAACTAATAAGCAGCACATTAATACCTTTATTTAACCAGGAAAAGACTCGCCGAGATTAAAATCTCTTTTCCAGGAGTGTCCTGGCCAAGATAGGCAGCCGAGTTTGCATATACAAATAAACAACATAGTTACGACATACACTACAAAACCAACATATAACCGGTTAAAAACAATTACACACAGTTAAGTTGCTCTCTAGATTACATAAGAACTTAAAATAATTATAAGACACCAAGTTTTGTAACTTCATCTCCTTTTGGAGAAGATTCCAATCTGAGGCGGCAGCATATTTAAAAGAGGTTTTTACCAAGCTCAGTTCTGACAGAGCACACAGAGATTGTAATGAATGATTTCCAAACAAAGTCCTTTGTATAAAACAACAGAGATAATTTGGCAAATTACCCAAAATTGCCTTATCAACAAATGCCAATGCATTTTTCTCAGAATTCTCAAGGAAGGCCATGCAACTCTTTCATATATTTCACAATGATGAGTTAATGTACAATCAGTTATAAATCTCAGAGCACCATGGTACAAAGCATCCAAGGAAGAAAGAAGGTAAGATGGGGCATGCTGGTAAACCACATCCCAATAGTCGAGAATCGGTAGAAATGTAGCGGACACTCATTTTTTCCTCACCTTAAATGGGAAACATGACTTATTTCTAGAAGTAAAACCCTACCTTTAATTTTTTTTACTCCGATACCTAATGTGTAAACCAAAACGCAATTTGTTATAAATGATGATACCCAGATATTTATACTCTGACACTGAGGTCATTTGGCTCCCCTGAGAAGTTTGAAGGGCAATAGAGTTCTCTAAAGAAGTTCTAGAATTTGAAAATAGCATACATTTGTTTTTTTTCAACATTTGAAACCAACTTCAAAGCATGAAACCTGTTTTGGGTAATATCAAAAACAGACTGTAATGCAGCCACAGATTGTTGCTTGGGGGGAGCTGAACAGTATACAATAGTATCATCTGCGTAAAAATGGAA